ATCTTTTGCCATTCTTAAAATGAAGATCTTATATCTTGGAATCTTAGTTAGAAACAACTCAGCATCATTTAATCCAACCTCTTTCTCTGTGTGGCTGCCGCTCTCAGCAGCAGGTCTGGCAATATAGTCTAGTAGTTAAACACAGGCCTTCCAGAGTTAGATTGCCTTGATTCAGATCTCTGCTCTGCCCTTAATAGCTTTAAGACTTCGGGCAAATTACTTAATCTTCTCCATGACTTAGTTTCCTCTTCTGTAAAATGGTGATAATAATTGTACCTACCTCAGATAACCTACCTCAGAAGGTTACTGTGAAGATTAACTTATTTTATAAGTATAAAAAGCTTATGATATGCCTGGTACAAAGTAAATGTTCTATAAATGTTTGCTATTACGGTGATCATCATCATCATCTGTAAATAAGCCCCTATTTGAATACTTTCTAGGGACAGTAGAAGGTCCCTAGGTGGCGTCAATGGTTTGCATTCAACTGCTAACCTAAAAGTTGGCAGCTCAAACCCACCCAGCGGTACCGCAGAAGACAGTCCTGTAATTAAGATTGCAACCAGGAAAACGCTATGGAGCAGTTTGACTTTGTAATACGTGGGGTTGCCATGAGTCGGAATCAACAACAACACACAGCAAAAACAGGACAGTAGAGAGTTCACTCACTCCCTCCCTTACCCACCCCTCCATTTCTCCAAGGTAGCCTGTTGAGACGTTGGCCAATAGCATACGGGTTATCGTGAGCTTTGGAGTCAGACAGACCTGACTTGAAACCTTATTCTATCTACCACCTTGGGCAAGATAACTCATGGTATCTTTGTCTGTAAAACAGCAATAATAATAATAATACCTACTTCACTGGGCTGTTGTAAGGACTAGTTAAGGCACTATATATAAAGCACTTAGCGTAGTTTCAGCTACATGGTAGACCTTCAATAAGTGATAGTTGCTGCTATGATGATGATGATGAAGAAGAACAAGAAGATAAAGAACAAAAGGAGGAGGAGGAGGAAAGGTAAAAGAAAGAGAAGCAGTAGCAGCCATACCAGCAGCTGCTGCTGTCTGTTAAAAAGTTCTTCCTAGCCAGCTGAGTTCTGCTTCCCTGCAATTTTACCTCACCAGTTCTAGCTCTGCCTACTGCAGCTGTACAGAACACATCTGCTCGGTCTTCTACCTCAGCCCTTCAGATGATCAAAGAGGGCTGACACAGCCCCTTCCCTGCACCTGTAGCAGCATCCCCACCCCTACTTTCAAGTGCTGTCTTTTCCAGTCGACATCTCTTATTCTTAGGTGTTCCTCAGTTTAGTTTCCTAGTGCTGCTGTGACAGAAATACCACAAGTGGGTGGCTTTAAAGAACAGGAATTTATTTTTCACAGTTTAGGAAGCTGGAAGCCTGAATTCAGGGCATGGGCTCTAGGGAGAGGCCCTCTCTTGAGGGAGATCCTTGTCTCTTTTGGCTTCTATAGCCCTGGTGTTCCTCAGTTCCTTGGCAATCTTCACAGCTCATAAGTGATTAGGTTTAGGACACATCCTACACTGATATGGCCTCATTAACATAACAAAGAAAACCCTATTCCCAAATAGGATTACATCCACAAGTATAGGGGTTAGAATTCCAACACATATTTTGGGGGGACATAGTTCAATCTGTAACACTTAGAGAACATGGTTTTTAGGCTTCTGCCTACCAGGAGGTCCTTCCTGGCATGCTCCAAGTCCTTCCCGAATAGAGCCCAGAGCACTGCAGGATGGTTTTACAGTATGGCCACCATCTTGGTGAGGAGAAGCATGGTGTCCTGCATCCCTCAGGGTCCCCCAACAGTCTCTTTGTCTAAGCCAGGCAATTGAGAATGGAAACAGAGATTGTCCATGTTCATTTTGAAATTCCTGTCTGAAATGATGTTCAGAGAAAAAAAAATTGCTTGTGATCTAAGGCACCAGAGGGAACAGCTCCAGGAGAGACATGTTTGCTTTGAAGCAGTCCATTAAGTTATAGAAAGGGGTTCTAGACATCACGGCATTATCCAATAAGGGAAAGGGGAGCACCCTTGCTGGGCGGTGGGATGGAAACAAGAAAGATAGTCTGATGCAGACCTAGGTTCCAGGACTTCAGGAAAAGAGTTTCAGCTTTGAAGTTAAACAGAACAAGGCCCTTACCAAAGGCAATGCTCCAATGAGTAATGGCTACCACTTACTGAGCACTTACTGCCTCAGATACTGTACCAGGGGCTTCACCAACATTATTCTGTTTAACCATCACAACAACCCATAAAGGAGAAACTATGATCATTCCCATCTTACAGGTGGGAAAACTGAGGTTCTCAGGTTATATAATTTCTTTAAGGTCATGTAGGTAGTGAATGACAGAGCTGGGATTTGAATCTAGGTTTGCTTTACTCTTTTTAACCATTATGCTGTATAGATAAACCCTTATTAACCATTTGGCCTTAATAAAATGACTTAACTACCTTGAGCCTCAATTCTCATCTCCACCTACCTTGCATGGTTGTTGTGGGGGATTACATGAGAACAGTGTATTTAAAGTGCCTGGTATTAATAGGTACTCAGGAAATTTTAATTTCCTCCTTCCCAAGTCCCAGCTCTCCCACTTAAAGTGACTGGGCAGACCACTTTATTTTTCTTGGACACAGTTTTCTCATGTGAAAACTGGGTATGGTTTTATGAACCTTTAACCCTGCATGTTCGCAGCTCCAGCAGGGTAGAACTCAGGCCCAATGCTCCAGCCTCCCAGCCTCTTTTGCTTCCTAGTATATCTTCTTGCTGGTACTTAGAGCTCTGGCACTAAGGTTTCATTTTTACCAGCAACATCATATTTACAGACCACAAATAACAAAGTAGAAGATGCCGGAAGAGCTCTGGCATGTTAATTAAGAACAATAGCGGAAGCAGCTGGACCGAAAATGCCAGCGAGTAGGAAGCAGAGGCAGCATAGTTCTGTTGTTGACAGAGCCAGCGCAGTAGTGTGTGTTAATTGGGGAAGTGGGTAAACATTTGCCAGCAGCTTGCCCCCCAGTGCACTGGAAGATAGACAGTAGGCTGGGCCCTCCCCACCGCCTTGCCTGCCCATCTGCCCCATAGCCCAAGAGATACCAGTAGAGTAGGCTTCACTCTGGGTTACTTATAAGCAGAGGATTCTGGAGGTGGATGTGTTTCCATCTGGAATCCGGGTTTCCATCTGGATACAGTCAGAGGATAGTGTTCCTCCTCCAGCTCACCAGCCTGCCTGTGACGTTCGGCCTCCAAGGCCTTGGCTCCCAGGGGCCTCCCCAGCTAGGAGAAGACAGTGGAGCCTTCGCATTAGGTGTGGCTTGAGTTGAGCAGAGGACAAGATTGCTGCCTCAGATGCTGATATCCTACATGTAGCAGAGCAGCCGCCTCAGGCCCAACTGGAAGTCCCCTGGGCTCCCGTCATACACACTCAGAGCCACCCATTTTTCTGTGTCCATCCATCCTTACAGTCAGTCACACACACAGCAGCCATCAGTGAATACCCACTCTGTGCCAGACATCATGCTAATTATATATATTTTCTCATTTAATTCTCACATCAATCCCACAAGTTTGGTACTAACTCCAAAGCCACAAAGCTAATAGCCAACACAGCTGTGATTTAAACCAGAGTATTTCTGGTTCCAAAGTCCATTTCCTTCTGCTAAACCAGTATTTCTCAATTTGTTAAAATTCATAACCCCTTTTGATAAACTGGAAGATTTTCTTTCTCTCACTTTCAAATTCAGAAAACCATCCCTGCCCCTGGCCTACAAGAGAACATAAGTCTAATTTAGGATTCCTGTATGATTAGCATAGCCCATTAAGCCAAGATTTTTGTCTAGCTTTATTCTCGTAGTTCATATTATAAAACGATTTCTGTTATTTCTAAATATACAAAGTTGTTTTATGACGTTGACTCATTATGTTTTCAAACTAAATCTTATCTCCAGCAAGGAGACTGTGATATGCCTCCCAAGGGAGTCTTCTTCTCATCCCTCAGTGGGAGACATACTCATCTTTGGGCATGGTGGAGCGGGCATTCTACAGTTTCCTATATGTAGATTTAGCAGGAAGATAAGCCCCAAAAGCTTAGTTCTTGTCCCACCGTTATGGGTTGAATTGTGTCCTCCAAAAAGGTGTGTTGAATTCTTAACTCTCAGTACCTATGAATGTAACCTTATTTAAAAATAGAGTCTTTGCAGATGTAATCAAGTTAAGATGAGATTATTAATAAGGGTGGGGCTAATCTGATATGTCCTAATTAGAGGAGACACAGACACACAGGACGAATACCATGTGATAACAGAGGTGGAGACTGGAGTGATATGTCTACAAGCCAAGGAGCACCAAGGATTGCCAGCAACACCAGAAGCTAAGAGAAACAGATTCTCCCTTAGAGCCTTCAGAGAGAGAGCATGGCCCTGCTGACACCTTGATTTTGAACTTCTAGCCTTCACAACTGTGAGACAATTTCTGTTGTTTGAAGCCACCCAGTTTATGGTACTTTGTTACAGCAGCCCTAGGAAGCTAATACACTCACCAAGCAGAAAAGGTCCTCCCTGCCATTAGGAGCTAACTAGGCAGAGGTCCCCAAGAATGCTAGTCAGTTGTTTAACCAGTGGCCTTTCCTTGGAGCCCCCTGTTCTGCTGGCCAGGCTGAGCTGTGCAGGAGGCCAGGGACCTCCACCTGCCTAGGAAGAGGTCAAGTCTCCTGAACCTGTGCCCTGAAGTCAAATGCTGGTTCCTCCTCTAAACTCTGAGACATAACCTCTCTGAGCCCTGGTTTCCTCAGTGGAAAAAAAAAAAAGTAACAACACCTGCATCACAAGGTTATATTGAGGACCAAATAAGGTAATAGATGTGAAAATGCTCATGCCAGTGAATAAGTGGGCTAAAAATCAATGTATATGGATAGAATCGGAATGCCAATGGAGAAAATAGTATTTGTTCTAATCTTTTAAATGTATATTTTCTTTCTTCCTAGGTAACCCAGTTGGATCCAAATAAATCATTATTGGAGGTAAAGTTATTCCCTCAAGAAACCCTTTTCCTTGAAGCAAAGGAGTAAACAGCCCAGTGGTGGAACCAGCTATTCCTTGACAAGTCACAGGCCTGCGTCAAGAGAAGGGCTCCTTGCCAACCCACCCACACGCTCGTCTCACTCAATTCAATGTCACACTTCTGCCTCTTGCAAGATTGCTGGAAAAAAAAGTAATAATAAACATAGCTACTTAAAATTTCCCATCCATGAGTATATGTTTTCAACCCTCAATGCACAGGCAGAGAATTATGACTCTGCCACCCTCCCCTAGTCCCTTCACCCCGTTCAGTGACTAATGCACTGTTCAAGCGTGAGTGATCAGTAAGTAGAATTTTTACCTCTCCAGTGCCCATCTTCTCCCCACAATGTCTAGGACAGTTCTGTCTGTCCTTCTGTCACCAAGATGCTGTGATTTGATGTGTCTCATTGAGCTCACACACCTCTGCCTTTTTATTTTTGTGACTGGACTTTTACTTTGTCACCTAATTTTAAGAGGCAGGGGGAAAACAAGTCAAATGGGACATTCTCAGCATGGAGATTAACCATTGTAGGCGAAAAGGCATATCATTTTTGTTGGTACTTTCTGACTTCATTGCTAAGACGTAAGGATTTATTTGAGGACAGCATTTGACATATATGCAAGATACTTCTTTACTTCTGCTGCCTTGGGTCTCCAGGTTCCATCTAGGAGGTATTTGCTATTCCACTGCAGCAGGAAACTGCTCAAGTGCACAATGTGAATGTTGAGATATTGTGAAGAGAGGACCGTACCAAGACTTCGGTATCTGGCCCAGCTGCAGGAAGCTGCTGTTAGGTTTGCATTTTGGTGGTTAAAACCTCACGGATACCAGCTGCCAAGTTGCTGGTCCGTCGGTGTGCACTGAACACAATTCTCTTCTGCTTTTCTCTCCCTCTGCTTCATCACACATTTGGACCTTGTCACTTGATGGTTTAAGCACCGTGTCTATCACCAAAGTCTGATTAGCTGCCCCATGGACTCTGAGCCCAGCTGTCATAAGGGACTGGCTCTACTGTTTCACTCTTCTGTTGTTTTAATGTTAGATCTTCGGTTCCTATCTCAAATAAAAGGGGTCTCAGTCTGTGGCTGAAAATTCAGATTTCATATATTTAATAGAACAAATGTGGGGGCTCAGCTCAAAGGACATGTGTTGCCTGAATCTACTTATAATTTGGGATTTGATTTGATAAATGGATTTCTGTTAATCTACGGGTTTGGGGTTTAGCTCATGGAGCACTATTTTAACTCCATAACAAATGATTTCTTTTTAGTCTTAGAATGTTTCTCCATATCCGTTTTTGTGTCACCTATGGTCTTTATCCTAGGGGTTGAAATCCTGATTTTGACATTTTGTACTTATCCAAAAGAGTGTAGGTACTGGTTTTTTACCCCAGCTCCAGCCAAGCGTCTCTCAGAAGACTCTAACCAAAGCTGGAGATACGCCTGGTCATTTTCCCTTTGCCCAGAAGTGGACATTGGCCAGGAAAATTCCAGCTTGTGTCTTTTCACTGATGCTCCAACCAGGGACCTCCTGAACACTCTCTGAAAACGGACGTGTTCCTAACAGACTAATGCTAGTATGGTCTTCTGTGGCCTCAGGGTTCCCTCCAGAGAGGCGGAAAGAAAGGGAGACCCACTGTGGGGAAGTTTAATCTGAGTATTTCCTCTCCAGCGCACTCCTACCTCCCTAACCTAGTGGCTCCACAAGACAGTCATTTCCAGTGCTACAGATGCACTAGGACACCAGCTCTTCTTTTTCCAAGTAGACCTTGTTCTGTGGCTGCTACGGAGAAGCTGCAGCCCTGAACTCAGGCCATACTCAGGAGCAGCAGCAGGGTTATGGGTTGGGGTTTGTGGGAAAGGATTCTGAATTCATGTTCATGTTTAACCTGTTCTATATGATTTGGGTTTGACTTCATTGTGTTGTTCCCACCCACTCACCTTCACTTCTGTATCCCCACAATATAGACTTTACTCTGAAACAAATTTCATAAAAGTTACTCAGTGTGACTTAAATGTGTGTCAAGTTGGCACATCCTTTTTCAACCCTGTCTTGGAAGGTTTTCTTTCTCAGTCTGGCCTGCTCAGCCCCATGAAATCCTATGGTGAGGAAACAGACCTCTAGGCTCCATTGCTGGGAAAGTCCTCAGCTAAGTGTCACTGTTCACTCATGACATTCTGGTCTACGAGATCCAGAACAGGACACCAAAGCAATTTTATGTCTTTTCATACATATACAACATTAAAATGACATATCCAGTTAGGTTCCAGGAAGAACATTAAGTAACTTGCTATCACCACAGAAATGGCAGTATCCTTTGAAGTTCTTCCTTGGACTCGTTGGGCTTTACATCCCAGCCTCCAGATGTAGTGAGTGAATCTGTCAGAATGTCTGTCTGATGTTTTTATGACCGGCTGTTTACAGTAAAGCTCTAGGGCCCCTTGTCATCCCCCAATTCCAGTTTACTTCTTTGTGTTCTTCGATTTTCAGTTGTACACTTGGAGCATTACTTGTAAGGTTTAGGGAAGTATTGTCAATTTCCCATTGCCCCTCAGAAGGCACAGTTTTCCAAAGCTGTCTGGTTTGGGATGTTGCCGTGCTCTGGCTCCAGTATTTTAATGGACACACAAGTGTTCATCTCTGAATGGTTAAGCATCCAAAGTCTTAGTTGGATGGGAGCATCTTTTATGGAATTTTAAGCTCAGTCCAGGAGTAACTGGCATAAACATTGTACTTTACAATCTATGTAACACATTCACGTGCATTATCTCATTTGATCCTTTTAAAAATTCTTATAAGGAAGGAGATCTTCATTCACACACTGAAATAAATCCTAGAAACTTCCAGTTTTTTCTAGTTTGAGTCCTGGCTCTGCCTCTTGGTAGTTGTGTGACCTTAAAATGAGTAACTTCTCTGAACCTCAGTGTCCTGACAACACTTACACAGCACTTTGCAATTTGCCACACCTTCCACTCTCATCAGCACAGTGTACTGCTCCGAGGAAAGCAGGGCAGAGATGGTCGTTCCATTTCTGCACATGGGGCTCTGAGGGGGTGGCAGCTTTCTTAAAGTCACACAGCTTGCAGTGAAAGAGTCAAGACTCAAACCCTGGTCTCTGGTTTTTAGGTCCACTGCTGTTCTATATAGAATCTCTAAATTCTTGTTCAAGAATGGATCGTGGAATCCCCTAAAATGTGTACAAAAACTTGAATGGGTACTTTGCTGGGAGAGGAATCTATATTCATCAAATTCTCTATGGGCTCTACTGACCAGAAAATTTAAGAACCACCATTTGCATCATGCAAATATCAGATTATATAGGAAATAGAATCTGGTCCACACTGTCCATTCTTCTTTTTATCAAGCCACATATTTATCTAAAAGAAAGCTACAGCCCCCAAAGAGGGTAAGATGCAACAACTAGGATTCCTTGGCCTTGGACACCACCACCCCCCTCTTCATTTAGTACTTCTCTCTTGTCTCATAATCTGCTTTGGGAGATGACCATTAACCCCAACTTGCCAGCTCATCTCTGCTGCATTTTGAAAGTTTGGTCTAAAAGGAAATACCAATAAAAGAGTCAATCTCCAGTCTTCAGTCTATTAATTTTTATTTTGTACACAAACTATTAGGTGTGGTTTTCGGTTTTGAGAGTTTGCATAATGTATGGTTAAGAGCACAGCCTCTGGAGCCATGTTGCCTGGGCCAAGCCCACTCCTACGTTTATTAGCAGTGTGCCCTGGAGAAGCCACTTCATCTTCCTGTGGATCAGCTTTTAGACAATAAAATGTGGATAAGGCTTTGTAAAGATTAGATGAATTAATGTAAAGCAGTTAGGATAGCTATTATCTGGTCTTTAAACTCATATGATGGAGCCCTGGTGGCACAATGGTTAAGCACTTAGCTGCTAACTGAAAGGTCAGCAGTTCGAACCCACCAGCAGCTCTGCAGGAGAAAAGACCCGGCAATCGGCTTCCGTAGAGATTACAACCTAGGAAACCCTATGGGGAGTTTCTACTCTGTCCTATAAGGTTGCTACGAGTTGGAATTGATTCAACCGCGTACAACAACAGCAAAATTCATACGAGATTATATAATAGGCAAGGCAGATGGGGTTATGACAGCAGTGAGAAGCAGCAGTTTATGGGAGAGGACAGAGAAAATGTGAAAAGCACACAAGAAATCCAAGAGCACAACTCTGGGGCACTTCAGGGAAGGGTCAAAGGGCCCTACGCAAAGTGTCACTGTGTGACTGGTGTCCCTAAGAATGAGCCTGGGGCACCATGGGAAGGAGAAAGGAGGAGGGGGACTTCTTGTTGAGCAATTAGAATGTGCCCAGGACTGTGCTCAGAGCATTACATACACTACTTCATGTAATCTCACAACAGCCCTGTGAGGTGGGTGATCTTAACCCCATTTTGAAGAGACAGCAGGCTCTAAGAGGTGGAATGACTTGCCCAAGCTCCACAGCTAGTAAAGAGCAGGGTTTTGGACCTAGACCTTTGACTCCAAAGCCCCTGCTGTGTTTATGACAATGAAGTGCTGCCTTCTAGGAAAGTATGACAAGTTACCTACACGTTTCAAATAAAAATTACAATAACTATCACATCTAAAAAAGTGTTGGTGGATGCTAAGGGGTGTAAAACCACAGTTCATAGAAAACTCAGCTGTCCAAAATGACTCATTCCCCAGGAGTTCTTAGTGCTACAATTATGTAGAAATGTGTCCAGAGCCAGAATTTAAGCAGGGCCTTTAAAGCACATGTAGTGATTTAAGAAGGGCCCTGTAGCCTCCAAGTCTTTGACATCTCCAAAATCCATTCCCTGCTCCTTCGTTCTTTACCCCATTGCCGTATCTTCCCTTCAGACCTTTATCGTCTCTCAGCTGGGCTATAAAACTACATCCCAACTGATCTCCCTTTCCAGTCCCTTCTCTTCTAGACCATTCTCTACATAGCTACCAGAAAGACCTTTCTAAAACACCTGCCTCACCATGCCACACCCTGCTTTAAACCCCTCAAAGGCTTCCCATTGCCCTTCAAATAAAATCCAAACTCTTGGCTTGGCTTTTAAAACCCGTGATCTGCTCCTTGCCTCCCTCCTCATCTGTATTTCCAGCCACACCCTAAACACACATTCTGAAGCACCAGCTTTCTATCACCCCTGGTCCTTGCACACACTATTCCCTCTGTCCTGAGTGCCCCTCCATCACCAGTAGACCCCTACCACCCATCCATCCTCACTTTCAGTTTAGACTTCACTTCTCCCCAGTGACTGCCCTGACCATTGCCACACACACCGCACATCCTCCAGGTTAAGTGCCTGTTCTGTGCGTCTTTAACCCGGGTGCTGCCTCTTAGCATGAGATCATTCTGAACTGTTACCCTCAGCTTATATGTCCTCCTCCCCTCACCCTCAGACTATGAGCCCCCCAAGAGTCTGAGTCACTTCATATCCTCAAGACCTAGCAAAATGTGTAGTAGACAGTTAAGCACACAGTAATTTTGTTGGATTTATTTTTGACTGAATTTAACCGAAGAACTAATGATGTCTATGTACTTCTAAGGTGGTCACTTTCATCTCTTATGTCTAACTCATCTGGGAATACTTTGAGGGCCGGGACCAGCTCTTAATCATCCGTTTATTTCCAGAGCCAGCCCAGGGTCTGGTACATAGCCATCAGGCAGCCAATGGTTACTGAAGCAGTTAATTAATTGGCGCTGGAGCAAAACCAACTGGAGCTTCTGAGGAAAGAAAGAGAGTAAAGGAATCAGTGTTGAGTACCTAGGTCAGCCCAGCACAATGCTAGGGAGTTTACACACTCAGCCCTCCCACACCATCCTCAGGTTTACTCTGTCAGGCCAGCACTATTATTTTCCCTATTTTCTAGTTCAGAAAACTGAGGATCAGAGAAATTATGTCACAGCTCCAGAGACACACAGCTGGTAGGGAGAGGGATAGGGCTCCCACTCTGGATCTGTGCTCAAAGCTCATGCCTGCTCTGCTTTCCTTCACTGATGAGCCTCCTCTCCCTGAGCTGCTTCAGCAGCTTTCCCTTCTAACCCATAAACAATGGAGTATAACAAAATTCTCACCCACTTCCCCTTTGCATCTTCTAGCTTTCCTCCCACCTCTCAGAGGGATCCTTCTCTGTCTCCTATGTGGGGTTTTCCTGCTCTGCCTTTCTGTAAGATGTCAGCATCCCTTGAGTTCCTTCCTCAGCCCTCTACTCTTCTCAAACTCCTTACATAAGAGGCAGTTTTCACTTCTACACTCACCTCAGATTTTCCTAAGGTATAAACTCCATGAAAGTAGGATCCGTGTCAGTTGGATTTATTTTTTTTATACCTCAGCACTGGCTGGGCACAGCGTAGGTCATTGATAAATACCTGTTGTATAGTGA